CTCCGAGTGTTGCCCACTATCAAATTTAGAACACAAGTTTTAATAATAGTGTAAATTTATTTAAATCTATTTCAAATTTAGTATTTGAAACAGATTTGAACAAATTTTTTGTCTGAATTACTTAATTTTAGTAAACACTGAAAAATAAATTTTAAGAAAAACTTCTATCCAATGATATCCAATACACAAAATTTTATCAATATAACAAAATTAGTTTGTAATGTAAAATTACATATCATCAAAATCACTAATTGCTGAAAGTAACAAGTTTTTTATGATTATGTAGAGACTGGTTTATTTCTTTAACATAAGGAATAAAATTGTAAAAATGGTGATTAAAATTAAATTGAGTTTTCCATCTGAAAATGAGTGTTTTAATCACAATATTTGCTTCAAACTGTTTCATTTTTATTTTCAGATTTGGCAATCAATTTTTTATAAAAATATAATACAGTCTTTCCTTGACTTATGATGTGGTGACTTTCCAAAAAATATTGCAAGTAAAAAAAAAAAAAAAAACAAAAGCTATAAGCAAGGTTATACAGTATGTAACGTGAATTTGGGCTATCATTGATTGCAACAGCCCAAACTCACAAGCAATTGCCATAACTGCCACGCTTAAGATATATCTTAAACTTCTCATTGAGACACAGCATGGTGTTTCGCAAACATAATGGATATACTGTAAAACACAAGAAGATATAAGATGGTACAGTATATATAAAAGAAAGTGTTAAGAAAGATCATTAATGCATCAGTAGAGCAGCTTGAATTTAAAATCTGTTTTCTCACACTTCTATTTCACTTGCATTGTATGTGCAAAATATCACATGTTGAAACATTGTAAGTCGAGAAGCATCTGTATTTCACGATTGAAAAACTCCACCTCACTAACTACAGTAGCTTTTATGTATTAAAAATCCTAAATTTGCAGATAAAATACATAGGACTTGATTTGTCAAACAAAGTGCAGTGACAAGCTAGATTTGGCCTCTACTTTCATGGATGTATAGACTTCCTGTATGAAACCACAACATTTTTTTGTTCCATTGTGTTATCTGAACACATTAATATAACTGATTCCACATGTGCACTGAAAATGAGTTCGATAAAATTTCAGACATTGCTAGATGCAAAGAAACTTCTCTTTTACCATGCACATAATCCGTAAGTTTGATTCATTGATATCCATAATTTTTTACTTCATTACCATTTTCACAGTCTAATGATAATTACTGCATAAATTATAACAATATAATGTTCATCTCACTTAAAAACTTGTAAAAGATTTAATTTTCATTATTTTTTATTAATTTTTATTCCTTTGTTTTGCAATTAAGTTATTAAGCAAAATATTTTTATTTTCACAGATCTCTGTTTGTTAATTAAAAACTACACCAGGATAATAAATCCTATTAATAAACAAGGTCCAAGTAGACAGGATATACACAGAAATTTAAAAGAGTAAGGACATAGAAGTAAAAGAATTAACAGTACTAGAAAATTTAGTGTTTATTGTTATTTATAAAAAAGTTGTTATAAAAATTATAAAATTATTTCATTTTATAATTAACTTTTTTAATAAAAAGTTTAATAAATATTTGCTTGCATTTTTATTTCATACAAACTATAAAGCCACACCAACTGCCATATAATATTGAGCCACATTCTGATAATTATTATTACCAGAATATAGCCCAATATTATAAGGCAATTAGTGTGACTTTATAGTAATGAATCAGGTTTCAGAAGATGTTCATACAAACTAGTTACAGTATTGTTTTCATACAGTATCATCTGTTCAGGTACCAAACAAATTTTTTCCATAAAGAATAATATATATTAGATTAATCTGTTCCAGACCGCAAAAATACACTTATAAAAACATTTGAACTCAAACTTAACACTGATGTAACAAGAAGCTTACAAGCCTAGCATGAATAAATCATAAAAAATCCTAAACAAATAAATAGATGAAATAAATGAAAATTTATTCTCATTTTACCTGTAACTTTGGAGAGTTAATAACCTATGAAGAGAGATGTGGAAGGTGATGAGGAAGGTAAGGAGGAAGTGAGATGTTATTGTTTGGAAAGTGAATCTCAAAAATGGCAGGTATCT